GAGGCGACGGCCCTCGCCATGGAGCTGGGTTTCACCGAGTTTATCTGCGAGTCGTGACCTGCGGAGCGGCCCGCCCGAGCCTCGCCGTTTCTCGATGGTGTGACTGTTTGGCCTCGCGCCGCGGGCGACCCGCGCGCGTCGCCGGGGCTCTCGGGGCGACCGGCGCGCGTTGCGGGAATTCCGCGGTGCGCTCTGATCAGAGCCTCGCTCGCCCCCGTCGTCGATCTGCCCAGCGGCCGCAGCTTTGCCCGCTATCAGCCAGCCGGCTAGCTCTCTCTGCTCCGCGCGGCGGACGAACCGCGCGCGTCTCCGGAACCCCCTTCGGGGCCACCGGCGCGCGTCGCGGGGGCTCCGCGCGGCGCCTCGCCCGCGGCCGTGGACGCCGGCGCGCGTGGGCAAAGAGGCAGGGACAAAAAGGGGAGGAAACGGACGCGATCCTCGCGAGGAGCGTGCCTTCGCGGGCGTCGACGTTCGTGCGCGTAGACGGATTCGCGCGCAGACTCATTCACAATCAGACTCACTCGCGCTCAGGCTCACCCGTTCTCAGTCTCTCGCACTCAGACCGACCATTTTTGCTCGCATTGTGGACCCCGCCGCGCATGTCGGCGCGCCCCCTCGCACGGTTCGTGACCCCATAGGGGGCGCGAGCGAAGATGGTATTCGCAATTGCGGCATTCACAACTGCACATGAGTAGGTCCTTTGCCAGGCTATTTGTTCTGCCATGTGGGAATATTTTTGATTATGGCGCGCCCGACCCGACACTACCACCAGCTAGTGGGGTGGTTGGCCCACTCCCCCGAGCTGGCGGCACCTCGTTCCGGGCATGCCTCCAGGGAGTTCCCGGGAGGTGCCAGGAGGTGCCACCAGCTCGACGGGAGGGATTGGCCGCCACCCTAGTTGGTGGCAGTGGTAGTTTTGTCTCTCCTGAGGCACGCGATGGCACGAAGACACTCGCGCCCCGCGTGGCTCGTGCGCGCGAAGCTGTGATGACCTGGCGCATCCGCGCCCACCGCCCGCAGGGGCCCCAAACCCGATGTTAACCCGGACTTGTCCGTCTATAGGAGGAATTTTCAAACGTCGAAAAATAGTCAGGGGACGATGTTAGTATTATGGCTTCATTTTTTTGAATATGTTATGGCTGTTTTTTCATCCCGAATCCCTCCCTGTATAAGAGGACGTGTCCAACCCCAGACCCCCTCGAACCGCGACAAAAACACGACGCAAGGTTCCTCTCGCCATGTTCGGCCTCTGGAGGCCCTCGCCCGGCTTCGGGTCCGTCAACAAAAACGGTTCGGAAGGAAAAACTGGGCCCGGGGAGTGGGTCGAGACTTCCGGGGGTCGACGTTGCGAAACAAAAAGAAACAACAAAAACATGAGGCCGGGGCGGGTCTGGGCACGTCGGCTCCCCAGGGCGGCGGGCCGGCGGCGGCGACAAGGGGCGAATAGCCCAGGGGCGGGCGCTGCACGCGTGCGCCCGGGAGAGCCTCGCCGAAGACACGGGTCATCAGCGCCCCTGGATGCACGTCCTGTTCCCCCCTGGGCTGTTCGCCGCCATCGTCGCCTCCGAGCGGGCACCCGTGGCGAGGGATTTCAAAAAAACCCTGGATTTCAAAAAAACCTTCGATTTCAAAAAAACCTTGGGTTTTTTTGATACCCTGGGTTTTTTTGAAATCTTGGGTTTTTTGAAAGCCTTCGCCTCGCGCGCGGGGCGGTGCGCTGGCGCCGCGCCCCTTCGCGAGCGTGCCCGCGCGAGCGCGGCCTCGGCGGGGCCCGCCGCCGCGGCCCGCGCGCCGCCCCCCTTTCGGCGTGGTCGTGGTCCACGGCCGGCGCCCCGGGCGGGAGCGTTGCGGCAGGGCGTTGCTGGTCGACCGACGGACAGGAGGCTGTTTTTTCAAGGGCGCCCTCGAGGGCGCGAAGTTATTCGCGCTTCGCGCTTCGCGGTCCTCGTTCCTTCTCCCCCTCCTCCTCGTCCTCCTCTTCTCCCTTTGGGAGGGCGGCGCGAGAGCGCGAAGTTATTCGCGCTTCGCGCAGCGCGAAGCGCGAAGTTGGGAGCCCTAGAGGCTGTTTTTTTCTAGGGTCTGGCGATGGCCCAGGTCATCGGGCCTGCCCCCCTCCCCCGCCCCCCGCCCCGGCGATCCCCAGGTTGGGCGCCTCGGCGCCCACTCCGCCGCGCCTTCATGGCGCCACACGCGCGGAGCCGAGTCCGAGTCCGAGTCCGAGTCCGAGTCCGAGTCCGAGTCCGAGTCCTCCCGCCCCCCACAGGAGAACCTGACCTTGCCGGTTGAGCAAGTCCAGGGTGGGGGGGGGGCGCGGCCATACGCAGGGCGGCCCACAGCGCGAAGGTCAGGTCATCGGCAGGCCCCCTCCTCCCCCCCCCTTGGATACCCCGGGTTATCGCCGATTCGCAAAAAAACTGTCTCCAGAGCGGATTTCGCTCGGAAAACGATGGGGTGGGCCCGGGGTGTCCTGGAGAAGTTCGTTCTGGACTTCGAGGCGAATTTCGCGCGGATTTTTGTTTGGCCTGGAGTGGGAAGACCCAAAAGAATCCCCGCGAAATCCATGTCGTTTTTCGCTCGCCGCTTCGGGCGAAAATCCAAGCAGAAATCCACGCAGGAATCCGCTGCAGCACGTGTGCAAGGCCGGTGCAATGACAGTCTGCGCCCAGACGGTCCCTCGGGGCTTCACTCAAGTCGGGCGTGTCCTTCTACAGGAGGAATATTCAAAGATAGTCAAAACATGGTCTGGGGACGATGTTTGGGGTATTTGGTTGACCACGTTTGAATATTGTTTGGCTATTTCTTATTTTTTTGTCCAAGGATCCCATGTGGGAGGACATGCCCGACCTCAGGCTTCACGACGGCTCGCCGATCGGTACCTGGGGATCGAGCCGGACAAATCGAGGCAGATGCAGCCAAGTCTAGGGCTTCCAGGCAATTCCAGAGATCGCCAAGGAAATGTAGATCCAGCGCGAGTCGAGGGAGGGCAGAAGTTGGTAAGCCCTTAAGGAGATTCGCATCTCTGGACGATCGAACTGGGTACGGAAATACCGGGTACAAAGACCGACAGCAGTTCCTGTTCATTTTGAACCGGGCTCGCTGTCGGTGTCGCTACGGACTTCTTCTATTTGAGACAGAGGGCCACCTGCCCAACAGCGCCCGCTGTCGGTTCTGGGGAATATTGGTTGCTGGGAACTGGACCGATTTGTTATGTGCCTATTTCGGACGTCCAAGTCATCGGTTGATGCAGTTGGAGCGTCTGATCAGAGGATGGGGAGTTGGGACAACAGCAGTTGGTGTCCGATTTTGAATTGCCGTTGTCTCAGTTCGCCTTGCTCCGATATTATGATGATGATGATGATGATGATGATGATGATGATGATGATGGTGATGGTGATGGTGATGGTGATGGTGATGGTGATGGTGATGGTGATGGTGATGGTGATGGTGATGATGCTGCTGATGCTGATGCTGATGCTGATGCTGATGATGATGATCATGATCATGATCATGATCATGATCATGATCATGATCATGATGATGATGATGATGATGATGATGATGATGATGGTGGTGGTGGTGGTGATGATGATCATGATGATGATGTTGATGCTAATGTTGATGATGATGATATTGTGGACCGACGCAGGGCTGCTCGCGGCCCGACTCGATTCGACCTAATTCCGACCGCGATCCGATTCGACAAGGTCCCAGAAGAGCTCGTCCCCGTCTCGTTTCTGCTCTCTTTGGTCCTTGGCTGGGTTACGCCGCAGATGCGTCTTATCGGCGTCGCCCAAACATACCTCTACTATGTGTTCGTCGCCCCCCAGGGGCGACGCGCGCACCGAGAAATCTTCTGATATATGCGTCGTGGCGGGCGCTTTCTGGCCACACCGCTCGAGAAACGATATACTACAAGATGGGTATACTATGTGTTCGGGTCGGACGCGCGCCTTCAAGGCGGACATTTAGTATTAGTATGTCTCTGTGCGTCCCATCTTACCTTATCGTCCTCCTCAACTTCCCCGGCACATCATTGTCTGCAAGTTGTCTTTTGCTTCGGCCTGGTTTCTCGCTGCACCCGTCGCCCCGCTCTGGCGCTGCCCCCCCCCCCCCGGTGACGGCATCGTTGGCGTGAGCAGGGCCAGAGCACAATGGGGACGCGCCTCAAGAAATGACGCCTTTACGGCAAAATGCCTTAGTTTCTAGACAGTTTTACTCACCGAGCGCGTTCCACTACTCGCAAAGTGCCTACTCGCAAACGTGAAAAAAAAACGGTGCCTTCCTTCATGGAACGGATCGTAAATCCCCCGCGGCGGATCCAGGCCACTTGCGAGGTAGTGGCTTTACGAGTAGCGGAGCGCGCTGGTCCATCTACGCAGCTCGCGATGGAGGGGCACGACGGGCCACCGACTTCGGGGTTGCCTGGGCTCCACCACCCGGCGCTCGACGAAAAAAAAATCAAGCTTGTTTAATTAGGGGACTGCATGCTTCTCGTGAGGGCGCTTTGGGTGTCTTTGCTGCGCGATGGTTTCTCGCAAAACAATCAGCCCTGTTTAATCAGGGGACTGCATGCTTCTCGTGAGGGCGCTCTGGGCTTCTTTGCTGCGCGGTGGTTGCTCGCGAGCGTTCCGAAGCCGCCGCGTTCTGGGTGCGCTGGGCTCTTCCAGGATTTGCACCTCGACCTCGGATCTGCACGGTCAGGTTCCTTGCGGCCGCGTCCGCACTGCAGGGGAGGGCGGTGGACGAGGGGGCGAGGGGAACCTGTGCGAGCGGGAAACCGACTCGGGTGAGCTGGCCCGAAGGCGCTTCACAGCCGCAGCCGAAGCGCCAAAGCTGAAGTGTACAGAAAAGTGGAGGCGAGGAGGACAAGGCCAAGAGGACACGGGGACAAAGGCAAGGCCGAGGACGGCTCAAGACCTCCTCGGCCGGGGGACGCGGACGAGGCCGAAGGGGTCAAGAGTGAGGAGGCGAGGAGGAGAACACCGGAGCCTTGCGGCGAGGCAGACCTCGACGAGATGGTGGCGCTGCACACCGAGTGGCGCCGCGGGGCCCCCAGGCAAGAGAGATCTGCACGTCGGCCTCGATCCCCCCCCAGAAGAGCACCTATGATCTCCATGAAGCGGGTAAGCGCAGACCATCATCGCCAAAGAGCACCGATCATCGCGGGTTGCGCCCAGACAGCCCCCCAGGTACTTTGAGATCCAGACGTTGCAATGTCTCCACGTCGGGCATTTGTTTCAGGCCCCGGGACCACCACAGATCGATTTGGCTTTAAAAATGCAGATGGGACCGAGAGTTCCGGTCATGATTTTCCGCGGTGTTGTATTTTTTGTCCGCGGCGTCGGATCTCAGGGTAGTCCCATCTGACCTCAACATATTTATATATATATATATATACATATATATATATATATATATATATAACAAATAGGCCCCCCGAGAAGTCCCAGCTACCTCAACATGACCCCCGAGTAGTCCAGGCCGGTCTCAACGCCCTGGGGCCGCCTCTGGCGGCATCCCCAGGCGCTCCGCGCCCCAGGGGGGCGGGCGTCGAGGCAGCCCCGGACCTTCGGGGGGACCTGTCGAGGCCAGCCGGGGCTGCTGTGCGCAACCCGACGTCTTACCTTCGCAGTCGGGCGTGTCTCCCTACAGGAGGATTTCTGGTGCGGAAAATGTTAAAGGGGCAGAAAAAGATTTAAACATATTGAAAAAGTATCAAAAAGTCGTCCCCAGGCAATTGCCGGACTATTTTGGAATTTTCTTCCTGTAGAAGGACACGTCCGACTTAATCTTACCTCCATCGCCATGAAGCAGATGGGCTCTGAGGGGAATCTCCACGGGCCCCTGGGCCATGACACGGCTGCTCGGGATGAAGAGCCGGTCTTTGGGGGACTGTCTCGGTGTCCGGGAGCCGTCTCCCTCATCGCCCGGCTTTGTTCCTCCATGCCGGCGATGAGTGGTGCCGGCAGGACGGGGCGCTGGCTCGGGTGGAGACCCATCGATCGACCCCCCGCCCAAATGTTTTTTTAAGTCAGAGGGCGCAAGCGAGCCGAAGCAGGTGCAGGCGGCGGTCGGGCTACGGTCGGGGCGCGCCTGAAGCGGATTGGGGCACGACGGAAAGCTGGGAGCGCAGAGGGGAGGAGAAGACGGAGCCGCTCAGATCGAGAGAACAACCCACCCCCGCACCCACCAGGATGGTGTTTACATGTTCTCTGGACTTCGGCGGCACGCTCCTGGACTTCGGCGACACGCGCCTACGGCGACGATTGCGAGTCGCGCGACGTTTTACACATAGTTGGTGTTATAGGCTTTCCTTCGCTTTTTGACAAAACAGGTTTTGCGTGTTTTACAAACGCGTTCTTGTAATTATAACATTGCGCCGTTGCACGTGCGCGATGGCGCGATTTGATCAATGTCCCACGTTTTGTGCGCGGCAGTTTTTCATACAAACTGTGGGTGTTTATTGAATACGTCTTCGGCTCTATCATCATATGTTTGCCGGCCCTCGGCAGTTGCATTTTCCGCAAGTTGCCAGGGGCTTCTCCTGGGACGCATGCAGCCGACGACGGTCGTCGGGCCACAGGCTCTGGGGAGAAACTTGGAGAATATCAAATGTTATGCGGTGGGTGTGGGGTGTGGGGGTGGGTCGCCTACTAGAACGTACTAATACGAGCGTGAGTCTTTCTTCCCTGGGGCATAACGGCGTTATGGCCCCCGCCCCCCCCACCCCACCCCCCAAAAACGAAACGCCCCCCCCCCCCCCCCCCCCCCCCCGCGTCCGCCCCGGGCACCGCCGCCGTGCGCATCGGGATCCGCATAGGCGTCCGCACAGGAATCCGCATAGGGGTCTGGTCCGCAGTCGTCGTCCTCGTCGTCGGCGTCGTTGTCGCTCGCCGCTCGTCGCTCGTCGCTCATCGTCGTTGTGCGCGCGGACGCGGCTGGAGCGTTTTTTTTTGTGTGTGTGTATATATACATATTCCGGGCCGATGACTGCCATCATCTGGGGGGGGGGTGAGGGGGCCGATGACGTCACGTTTCGCGCCACCGTGGACGTGTAGCAGCAGCATGTAGGTTGCGATTTGCAACGCGCCTGTGTACATCACAGTGCCTGTGCGCACCACAACGCTTGTGTACACCACACCGCCGATACACACCACAGCCAGCAGCCGCGTGCAACACAGCGCCAGTATGTGCACAGTGCTTGCGGGCACCACAGCGCTTGTGTAAACCACAGCGCTTGCGTACACCACATCAGCCGTGTGCAACACAGTACCAGGGTACACCACGGTGCCTGCGTGCACTACTGCAGGAGAAGCGGCATCACAGGCACCAGCGGGCCACCGGCAGAAGATGGGATAAGTCTCAGGCAGGGCGCCGCAAAACCGGAGGACCCTATCACCAGGAGGATTTTGCTTGGCTTTTGCCCTTGGTGGTGGTGGTGGTGGTGTCGTCTTTCCTTGCTCCTGCCCTGTCCCGTTTCATCATCGCTGTTGCGTGCCCGTGCTCCCCATTTTCCCCATTGCCTCCTCCACTCTCGTCCTCCCCGCCGCCCCACCCCATCCCCAAGTCCCCAGGAGATCGCCATCCCTTGTTGTCCTGGTCCTCTCTTATCGCTCCTCCCTCTCCACTCCCCAATGCAGTCGGGCTTCCTCCGAACCCGAGTGGGAGGAAAGGCGGGGAGGAGGAGAAGGAGGATGAGGCGCATACTGTCGGCTCGCACACTTTGAAGGTGGTTGGCCCTTGTTTCAGGAGTGGCGAGCCTAGACACCCGATGCTGTTTGTTTCAATGAGCGATCCCCGGAAGTCCCTACCCGTTCCTTGGTGTCAGTTTTTCATCCCGGGTCGTTTCTTGACGGCCCTGGGGCCGGCGAGGGCCCCCAGAGGCCGAAAATTGGGAAACAGTTCCGTCTTGTCTTACATATCTATATATCTGTATCTATAATTATATATGTATATCTACATATATGCGCATGCATATATATATATAGAATATATATCTATATATATATATATATATATATATATGCGCTGGAGGCCTGGGAAGGGCTCGCTCTTCCTGCAGTGGTGTCTGGGGGTCCCACTTGGGCACGGCGCTCCTCGCGCGACCCGCCGTCGTCCGCGCCCGGCCCTTCGGGCAGGGACGACCTCCACGTTCCCACGTCGCGTTCGCCGCCGAGTGGGGTCTGGCCGGTGGAAGCCGTGACACTCGTAGGGCTGATGGGAACAGGACGAGGGTCAGAGCCCCGAATCATCAGGGGTAACTCGGGTCAGGGCTAACTCGGGTTCGTTTTTCGGGAAGCCGAACCCGACTTACCCCGGACCCGAGTTACCCCGGATATCTCGGGCGTCCAGAGCCCCAGAATCATCAGGGGTAACTCGGGCGCCCAAGAGGGGGGGGTGGGAGGAGGAGGAGGAGGAGGAGGAAGAGGGCTGGCGCCGTCGGTGAGCTCGTCCGACCTGTATGCCATCCTTGGGGTGCTGATCTTGTCCCTGCTTACTGGGCCAAGAAGCTGCGCAGAGAGAGTGCTGGGATCAGGGCAGGCTCGCTGCTCCTGGCCGCCGCAGCCGCTGCTGGCTCTGTGGGAATAATTCTGCATTCTGTCCCCAGGGCCGACTACGCTGCGGATATATGGAGTACCGAAGTCCTGAGTGCCCTGGCAGGTCAACCCGAGGCAAGTGTTGGGTGCTTCGACCTCGCGGACTTTGGCCTACCTCAGCGTGCAGTTGGCCGAGTGTTGGCGCTCCATTGCCCCCAAGTTTCGGAGCTGATGCAGCAGCGCGGCCTCGCGGCTCAGCCGACGGGGGTACTGCAGAGTGATGTTTGGATGTGTCCCAGTGGCCTGTAGGAACTGGTGGGGGAGGCTATGATGTTGGCCCAGCCTGCACTGCGGAGTGACGCTACTGCGGGCCTCGCCGACGACTCCGAGTTTCTGCCCTTCCTCGCCCCTCCTGAGATGTATGCAGACCCGCTGGATGAACCACAAGGGTACGAGCCCGTCGAAGGATCGCGTGTGCTGCCCGTGGGGGGCTTCCTCCTGTTGTATCCGGCGGCTTTCTTCACATGGAGGCCCAGCGTGGTGGCGAAAGCGGCAGGGGATGAAACAAACCCCAAGCGCCGCCCCGCTGGGCCGTTGATGCTGTCTGCAGTTCGGAGCATATTGCGGTGATACCGCACAGGCTGGTCAATTTCAAGTGCGTGCTGGGTTGCGCCATCGTGGAGGTGGTGCGGGTGCGGCCCAGCGTGGTGGCGAAAGCGGCGGGGGATGAAACAAACCCCTTGCGCCGCCCCGCTGGGCCATGGGCGGCGGTTCGCCTGGCCGAGTGTCGTGCGCTGGCTGGGCGCCGCTGACGTGGTCGCGTCACTCGACGTATCCATAGTGGGCGCCAGGCGGTGGGACCGCACACGGAGGAGCCCTACGTGCTGGGGCGTCTTGGATTGCATGTGGACTCCGCGGGGCATCCGCCCCTTGGGATGGGAAAGAGAGAGAGAGAGAGAGAGAGAGAGAGAGGAGGAGGAGGAGGAGGAGGAGGAGGAGGAGGAGGAGGAGGAGGAGGAGAGGAGGGAGGAGGAGGGAGGAGGAGGAGGAGGAGGAGGAGGAGGAGGAGAGGAGAGGAGGAGGAGGAGGGGAGGGGAGGAGCGAGGGGAGGAGGAGGAGGAGGAGGAGGAGAGGAGGAGGAGGAGGGAGAGGAGGAGGAGGAGGAGGAGGAGGAGGAGGAGGAGGAGGAGGAGGAGGCAGGAGGAGGAGGAGGAGGAGGGAGAGGAGGCGAGGAGGAGTAGGAGGAGGAGAGGAGGAGGAGGAGGAGGAGGAGGAGGGAGGGAGGGAGGAGGGAGGGAGGGAGGGAGGGAGGGGAGGGAGGGAGGGGAGGGAGGGAGGGAGGGAGGGAGGAGGGGGAGGGATTGGGAGGAGGGAGGGAGGGGAGGGAAGGGAGGGGGGGAGGAGTGAGGGAGGGAGGGAGGGAGGGAGGGAGGGAGGGAGGGAGGGAGGGAGGGAGAGGGAGGGAGGGAGGGCGGGGAGGGAGGGTAGGGAGGGAGGGAGGGAGGGAGGGAGGGAGGGAGGGAGGGAGGGAGCGAGGGAGCGAGGGAGCGAGGGAGCGAGGGAGCGAGGGAGCGAGGGAGCGAGGGAGCGAGGGAGCGAGGGAGCGAGGGAGCGAGGGAGCGAGGGAGCGAGGGAGGCAAGCTAGGTGCGCTCGCGTCATATCTGACA